AAAAACAAATTTGCATAAGAACGTTAAACAACTGACCTATTCGAGAATTAATGTTTAAGGATGCTTTTAGTTCTTTGTGTTCCTAAATATTCTCTTCGCAATTTGAGATAAGGTGGAGCAATTAATTAATATCGGTATTCTCGACAAATTATTTGAACGTCATAGTCGTTGGAAATTTGAATTTGTAAAAGATGGGTATTTTCAAAGAAAGTTTATCGGTTATCTTCAGTTTGGATATTTGGTATATCCAGGGTTATCAGATATCCTGGTTAAACTGAGATCGTTCCATTTTATATAAAACTACTATATTGTCTCCCCGTTTCTCTGTATCTCAGTGTGAATGTGATACGCACGATTTGTCATTATACTCGGCTCCTTTAAATATTGTTTGGAGAAACACCTGATAAAGACACCTCCAACGTTCTTTTTAACCTAACCTGTCACTGGGCAGCTGCAGTAATTGAGATTTGAAGACCTGACCAGCCTCGAAAAAGAAAACAACGAATTAACATTTTCTTTGAGTACGTTCAAGACAACTTAGTTGTATTTTTTATTCTATTTATTATCGTTTTAACTAGATAAGTCTTTAGCAAGTTTGGTTTATCTATGATTTTAAAACGCGCTACAATATACATCAGATTATTTAGCATATGGTAAAAAGTGTATTATTGTAATTCTAACTGTTTCAGTGCTGTTAAAATGTCATTTTATTTATATACTTTCTATGAAAGATTGTGCAGAATTTTTTTTCTCTACCTCTTTCTTTTATTTTATCGGTCTTATAGTGGGCAAGGGATAAGCTTACGGATATACAACGTTAAAAATCCGAGGTTCGATTCCCCCGTGATGAACAGAGCAAAGATTGCCTATTATGTAACTTTGCGCTAAAACAGATTGATTGTTTGGAATTAAGCACAAAGCTGCACAATGGGCTATCTGTGCTCTGCCCACCACGGGTATCGAAACCCGGTTTCTAGCGTTGTAAGTCCGTAGACATACCGCTGTGCCACTGGGGGGCCCGCGCTAAAACAGACAACTTATTCCGTCGTATCGTCGGCCGTGTATCATTCTTTTATTCTATTGTTACTATTGTGGACAGTTGTAGTTTGTTGAATTTTGTGCAAAGCTGTTCTAGGACTATCTTAATTTTGAGGTGATGGACTATAAGAAAGGCAGCTAGTTAACACCATCCAACGCTAACTTGCGGGTTACTCTAAATGTATATACAGTTAAACACATTCAATATTATTGAAAGTTTGAAGTAGATTAAGGGTTCCAATCTCAGGAATCCCGACCCCAAGATCCCGCATGCTGATGGGGCTTCCAAATCCCGGTATTTTCGGACTTGAGGAGTGTCAGTTATATCACTTGATTTTTTTTCTTCTCACAGTAGCGACACTTAACCAAACTGCATGAAAAGTGAGTGGTGTTGACTAGCTGGAATATCTCTAGTCTATCAGTTAAAAATTAGCAACAGGTAGCATAGGTAGCCCTCGAGTGGTTTTGCATGAAACTCATCAAACAAACAAAATCGTTAAGAGGCTCTGTAGTCACGTTGATCAACACTGTGGTTCATCAACCCTAATAATGTTGCCAACCACTGTTTGAAAACATGTGATACTTTTTACCAAAATCTGGGTTTTTTTGCATGATACTAGGAGCGCTGGAAGAGTTTCATTTATGTTTGCCTTAATATTCTTTATTAAACATTTAGAAACATCATTCTTAATTCGTCCATTGAGTGTGCTACCATCGAATTTGGAATTGTAGTTTTCCAGTACTCACTATTTGGCACTATCATTGAGCTGATATTCATTGGATCGACCGAAGCACTCTTGGACTCCTGTATCCATCCACAGTCGTTTCATGGCGCCAAGTAGTTCCTCAGAGAAGGGTTCTGTGTCTTCCATACGCGAAACAACTTCGAGAACTAGTTTAGCGTCGACCTGAAAAGAGATTTTGAAAAAGGAATTATAAAACTCAATTGTTAATTTTTTTAAAGAGCATCAAACTTTCACAGCAATTGTACGTGTGTTTTTCTTATAGCAAAGCCACATCGAGTTATCTGCTGTGTCCACCGAGGGGAATCAAATTCCTGATTTTAGTGTGGTAAATCCGGAGACTTGCCGCTGTCCCAGCGGGGGACCACAAAAATTGTAAAAACTTCATAAGTTGAAAGTTCACCAGATTAAATACATAAAATCTAAAGTATCATAGTGAAACTGAATAGGACATTATCCTGCTTATTTATTTGTAGCAAGTAAACTGGGCGTGTATGCACATAACTAACAAAAAAGTAACAAAATTTTTGAATAAAGATCAAACTTAAATGTTATGATTTCAAATTTAAAAATCTAATCTCCAGAACATTCACCAAGACAAAAAAAAAATATTGAAAATTAGTTTGCTCGGTAGTTTGGGCGCTTGACTAGCAATCTGCGGGTTGCGAGGGTTCGAATTCCTGTCATCGAACATGCTCGCCCTTTCAGCCGTGAGGGTCAGTTAAACTTTTCATTGGTAAAGAGTATTCCAAGAATCGGTGGAGGATAGTATTGACTAGCTGCCTTCCCTCTAGTAAATCACTTCTAAATTAAAGACGGCTAGAGCGTATAGCTTTTGAGTAACTAAATTCAAAAACAGTTGAACCTGAGAATAGTTTTACTCCGTCCCTTGAGAACGAAAAGCTTCATCTGTTGAAAGTAGTCATTTTTTATGTTTTGTTAAATCTTTAATGTTGTGTGCATTGGTTTCTGATATGCTAATGTTGTATTTTATGTATAAACGAAACTTGAGCTAAATTATCAAAGAAACATAAACCCTACTTTCAAAGTAAGATGAGCTAAAGTATTAAATACAGATAAAATAAGGTTTTTCAAGTAATATGAAATAGTTCTTTGGTTAAAATACACAAAAAGTCTAAAACGATATTAGCGAAATTTTAACGCAAACGTATAAAACGAAATCTGTTAAACTTTTAAGACAATGTTAACCAAACTTCTGACAAAAGATAAACTAAACTTCTAAATACAGATAAACCAAACATTTCAAAAGAAATAAGCTAGATTATTAGACTGTAAAGATAAAAAACTTTAAAAATATAAGTTAAATTAAGAAACAACAACGTATTTTACGTCCAAAATAAATCACATTTTTGATGCAAGATTTGACCAAAGTTTAGTTAAAGATCTAACCAAACGCTTAGAATATAATGAGCCACTCTTAAAGATTTACATTAGAATTACAAATCTTCAGTTAAAAGAAAACAAACTTTTAAATAAAGATAAAATTTTAAAATGATACGAGCGAAACTTATAATAAAACACATACTAACGGTTTTAAACCTATAATTTGGTGATGCGAACTTTTAATGAAAAGTATTTCAAATTTTTAAAACAAAATGTCCCAACCTTTTATAAAAACAACAACCTCGCTTATAAAACATATCTTTTTTTGTGTTTGTGTGGACATCTCTATTTGTGCTACTATGTTTATTGTGGACATCTCTAGACATCTTATTATGTTTAGCATGGACATCTCTATTCATGTTGTTATGCTCGGTGTGGACGTCTCTATTCGTGTTTTTATGTTTAGTGTGGACATCTCTAGACATTTTAAGTAATCAAGGAAAATTGATAACTAACACCTTTCTCTTCAGTTTCTCTAGTTATTTTATTGTTTTCATTGGCAGAAGATATGTAAATTTGGAGACCAGGATAAGAAGATAATTAAATCAAGGCTAAGACAACAATCAGCTTGCTGATGGAATTCGATCATAGTGGTTGTCAACGCTTTTATCTTTACGTAAACTCTCTTCACATTTCTTTCTTGTAATAAAGTTACTATAGTATCTTTCTAAAAGTTCATCTTTAAAGGTCACTTGGTGCTGCAACATCACGATCCATGTAGAAGAGCCTTTCTAAAAATAGTTTATGATATTGACAAGTTGCTGTGTTTACCGTACAAAGTCTGATTGGTGCTCGTATTGATCACGCTAACGCGGACTTCATAGTACGAGTATATGCTCCTTAACCTAGCAAAATATTAATAGGACAAAGAGCACGTATCAGTCATTTGTTGTAATTCAGATTACAGTTAATTATGATATCCGAAAATTAAC